AACCAGAGCAACCCGGTGGAAACCCACGCGAAGGCAGGGAGAACATGCAAACTCCACACAGTAACCCCAACTGAGCTGAGGTTCGAACCAGCAACCCAGCGACCTTCTTGCTGTGAGGCGACAGCACTACCTACTGCGCCACTGCCTCGCCCCAATTTTTTTTACATTACTTAAGTCTCTATAACTTTTTTTTTTACATTTTGAGCATTATAAACTCTAGATGATGGATAACAAAACCCAGAGTGTCTTCTTCTGAAAGATAAATACACTTTAAATGTAGACCAAATCTTTTAGCAACTGTAAATGTTTTAGCTTAGGAAGATGATTTTTGAGAAAGTGCCTCTGACAGTGAGGAAGAGATGGACATCGACATAGTCTCGGAAAACTTTTTACTGTAATCTCATTTTGCATGCTATCTTCATCAAATTTGAAATATAAACTCATTAAATACTTGGCTTTCAAACCATATTTTTTTCTAGGACATTACATTAATGTTTTCCTGTGTTTCAATATGGAAAACAAATATTGAACACAACACAATTTTGTTTTCCTCATGACTTCATAATGTTTAACTTTTTCCCAGATAGCAAAATACACTCGGGCCAGTTCCGGCTAGATTGTCGCCTGCCGGAGACTAACCCCTCGGCCCAACTTCGGCTGCCGGACTCGGGCCGGATGCCTGTGGACTCACTGCGGGCCAAGCGGGCCAGATGCGGCGGCCGTAAGCGAGCCGACGCTGCGCATCCGCGCCGGAAACGGCGCGAGGGTAATGTGCGCTGCGGCCCGGAGCTGGCGCGACTCCGTATTTATACACCTTATAAAACCTTTTGGTATTACATTGGTACTTGATATATGGTATTACAACCATTTGAATTTATATAACAGCAAACACAGGCTATAATGTAAACACAAAGTGTAAGCACTGCGTTTAACCTTTGAATAAAGTGCAAACTGCATACATATTCTGTAACGAAAATAATCAGACAAATGACAAAATAAATAAATGTTAAACGTTTATTCATTGCATGAAAAAAAAAGTACTAAAATTTTATAAATAATTTTGAAGTGCACAAGAATATCAATATAAAAACAACACAATAAAGACACACAGAAAGATTTAAACAAAAAATCTAAAAATTACACACAAACACAGATGTTTTTTAAAACAACCCTGTTTTCCCAATAGACTTGAATTAAAAATTTGTAAAAAACAGCTAAATTTTATATAAACCTAAATATAGAAACCAATTTAAGATATAGCAAGAAACATCTTAAAAATACCAATGACAATCCGTAAAATAGTACAAGTCAAACTTGTAAAAAGTACTGCAGAATTCCGAAGAAACATCTTGAAACATTTTTTAATAAAACATTAAAATAATAATAAACAAACAAACAAACAAATATATATATATATATATATATATATATATATATATAATTGCAGAAGTATAAAGTCAAACTTTTTTTTTTAAATAAACTTGAACAAAAGCAATTGCACAAACAGCAAGACATGAGTGAGATGATTATACATTTCATATATATACACGTCTTGTGCAATTTTATATTTATAATTTTATTTGTATTACGTTTATTAAAAATGTATCAAGATGTTTCTTCAGAATTTGGCCCACACACATACATACATACATACATACATAAATACACACACACACATATATATATATATATATATATATATATATATATATATATATATATACATATACATATCAAAATGCAAATGAAAGAAACAAATTGTTCAAGTATCAGGGAACATCCTAATACACTTAAAATGTTGTTTAAAAAATAAAACAAAATAGTGATGTAGACATTTGACACATTAGCTTTCTCTTCTTTCTTCCTCCATCCCTGTCAGGGGGAAAGTTGTAGCTACCTTGTAATGCATTTTTCCACTTCTTTATCAGTGGCGTGGTATGGACATTTGTCCTCACTCCATCTGTGATTAAAAGATAAACAGATAATTAGTAGTGAACAAGTACTAATGTAAAAAGGTTGTAATAGATCAATGACATAATGTTGACAGTATGTGTTTAAAATAATTGCAAACAAACCTTTAGATGTATGACAGTCATCGTCCTCATCTGTCTACCAGTCAGAAATCACAGTTGCGTGTGGATATTTCAGTCGAGCTTCCTCATATGCATCTATAATAAAACATCGCATTGTTGTTAACCTCCCGTAAAGAAAAGTTCAAATCCTGAAATACTATCAAAGTTAATTAATGCATATAATACCTATAATGCATATAATGTTATAGTGTAAATAATCAGTACACAGAAGGTTGCACAAGATTTATTCGGAGATTCATGCAGAGTGACAGCCTTATGAATCTGAGACATAGATTTGTAAGATGGTCAAGCACATGCATTATTCTGTACCCATGAAGATTAACCTCCCATTGTGAAAAATGTTTGATGATGATAGCCAATAACAATAGACCATTTCAGCTGTTTGTGAAGCAATTAGTAATGTAATGTCTGAAAAGCTCAATCTATGTTGAAAATGTATCAGCAGTTTACAGCTTATGGACTTTTAGCACACAACTATAGCATGCCTATTCACGTTCAAAAGAGTGTGCCATTGACTGCTTTGGTCGTGATGTGCTGCAAAATGATCTCACTAACCTTTGTTAAACAAGAACAATAAGACTTAACCAACAAATATTGTTACCCATTCATTTAAATCAGAATTTATCACTGTCAATAACAAAAAAAATAAAAAAAAAACATCAAAATCTGCTTTAAGACGTTCAGTTTTACATTAACTGATCATTACAGCTTGAACAAAAGATATAATTGATTCACAGAGGCTAACACATATGAATTAAAGTGCATAGTAATATATTTCTCTTGGATAATTTAAAGAGAATAGTAAACAGTCGAGTTTCGATCATTTTCGTGACTAACTGCATAAACAAGATAAACAATATTTTATTAATCCAAAACGATTAGTTTTTATTTACACATAATCACAGAATTAATACTGTTGGATAAGTATACGCCTGTACAATGATTTTTTTCAACATCCACGGTACTTTATAATGTTAAATCAGGAAAAAAACACGTTTTGCCAAGTTAGTTAATGGATTCGTCTACAGAAACTTTCTTTAACGCAAAGTTAGCATACACACAAATTCGTTTCATGTTTCTTTAAAATAATTAAAATAGTTTTCAGTTACTACACACGTTACAATCTAACATTGTGTAAAAGGAACAGGAACTTTCAGACGTGTTTGTAACTGTTAGCGTTAGCATACATTAGCTCCAGTCGTGTTTCTTAAAGCAAGTTACATTTCGTATCAAACTGTTTTAAATTACTAAACGCTGTTACAACCAAACACAGTGGAAATGTTTTAAGCTCTAAATTCGCTAATTTTACAGAACACAAGCAGTAAAAAGCTTACCTTTCTGACCGGAATCCACGTGAGTCTTTGAAAAACCAAACTTTTTCTTCTTGTGATCTTTGTGCCATGGTGGTTGACAACCAGCTTTTTGGAGCATTACCGCCACCGTCTGGATTGGAGTTTGGATCAGGAGTTTAGTAACGCATGAGTTTATTATGAAACCAACTTCTGCTTTAAAAAAAAAAAACAGTCAGCACAGGAGCGTGCTATCTCAAAAATAAGCGAATTTTACATGTGACATGTATAATCTATTTATAAATAATATTGTTTTGTTTGCGTCTAAACATTGACCATCCACACTAAATATTCTTTTTTTTTTTTTTTTTTTGCTATTGTACCATGAATATTTTCTCAAATTATCATTAAACGTGGAGCTAACAGATTACTAGATAAAATAAGAACTTAATCGGTTGCCATCAGCTGAGTCCTTGCAAGAAGCGGCCAGGATATGGTTGACCGGAATCGGGCCAGTGCTTTACAGCCGCATCACAACCGCATGTGCGCGAGCGAGCTGCGGGCCGCACTCGGCCCGGATAACACTCGCCGATGCCGAGTCGGAGCCGGAGGCGCCGGGGGGCAGCCGAGCTCGGGCCGATTACTGCCTGCTATCTGGGTTATATTTTTAACATGTAACTTCATATTCATCTTTACAATGATACATAGTTTGTGTTTGTAGCTTACTGGAGTCAGGAACTGTTACTATTTATAGTTAGGTAGGTGTAAATCCCCAAAATTGAGTGCTGGCTAACAGTTAATACCCTAAAATTACAATGTTTTGAATGTAGCTTATAAACGTGTAAAAGTTATTAGAGTATTCCCGAAAACCCAAACCTCACTTTGTCCAGCATGCAGGAGAGGAATGTTTTACTGCAGTGAAAATGTACTTTTGAAAGACATGTCTGAAGTTATGTTGTTTTTTTCCAATCAGAAAGTTATGTTTTCATTAGCAGATGTTGCTAGGTAACAGAGGCATGCATATTCAAAGGCACAAGAATAAGTAACGGATGCTGAAATACACTTAGACAATTTGACCATTATGGCCATTCAATGTGGAGATACTCAGAACTCGTTTACGTTTTGTAATTTTAATAAAATAACAACGTCAGAATGGAATATACATACATTTAAGAACAGTCTCATTATATTTTAACAAGGGTATTAAATTACACAGTTAAAATATAGTCAAAATGACTGCCTTTGTAGTTCATGCGTTAATATGATCATTTTGGGGGGCTTTCGTTTAGATTTATAATCAGATATTGAGCATACAGTTCACATGGGTAATAATTTGCACTGTTTGCACAATGTTTTCTGTCATTATTCTGCCTTGATACTGCTATTTGGTTGTATAATTCAAAATTATGAATGCACTTAAAAAAGTGCCTTAAGTGTCCACATATCTTTTGGGATCACTGCATATATTAAAGTTTTAGATTTATTCCAACTGGCAAAAGGCCATCAACTCTTGCAAACTAGAGCATGTTTCTTAAATTGGTTTGAGGCCAGTTCAACTTTAAATAGGATCTGAACAGGGGGAAAAATGATCTTGAGTCGAAGAAAGAGAAGCACTTACATGGTAAGAAGCTCTATCTTCTCTGTCCAAAGGTTTTGTGACAGACATTTTCCCTGTCACAGGATCAATATTAAAGACGTCATTGGGAGGCTGATCTGCTCCAGCTCCTGTTATACTGTACCGGATCTCAATCTTTTTGTCCTGGTCCGATCGAATCTGCAATAAAACAGCACAATGACAGCAGTTTTATAGATAATCAAACACAAAATGCGTTGCTACGTTTAACCTGTCAATTTAGTGCTCACATGGGGAAGATATTCTAACCAGGTTTTGATTTCAGGACCAACATTGTGGACAACAAAGAAGCATGAAATTCTGCTAAAAAAAAAAAAAGAAAAAAAAAATCTGCTTAAAAATAAAGATTCAGAACATGGGAATGACATGAGCCTGATACTAAATAGTTTCCTCATTTTTATGTAATTTCTGTGAGTGTAAAATCCTGGTTAAAAAATAGGAAACACCAACTGTGGCGATCCATAATCACTAAAATGCATGCCTTAGACAGAGTTTTATTAGCCACAAGGCACTGACGTGCTGCTTGAGCAACAGAGTAGAGCACATTAATATTCATGACCCTTCCAAATATGGTCAAAACTAACCATATCGTTCATATCGTTCATTTCCTTCGACTTAGTCTCCATTTTAGAAATGAACCGCCAACTAGGGCTGCACAATTTATTGTTTCAACATCGATATCGCAATGTGCAAAGTATGTGCCATGTGATGTTCATATGTTGAGACTATAGTTGACCAGCACAACAGATCATAGCACGAGAGATTTGTGTCACCTCACTCTAACCATGGAGTGAAAATTAACAATTTGCATGTTTTTTTATTTTATTTTATTTTATTTTTTTTATGTGACCTTTACTGTCTGAGCATTTCAGGAGTTTAAAAAGCATTCAACAGAAGACATTTGACCATTTGTAACTTTAATAAAAGGTTTTATTGAATTATATACACACTGTAAAATTAAATCCGTTATTATTATTTTTTTTTCAGCAGTTGGGTTGCCGAAAAGATAAAAGAAAAATAACAGCTGTTAAATTACAGACATTTATCGTCAAATAACAGGTGTTACATTACAGAAATTTCTATAAATTTTAATTTATGGTAAATATCTGTAATTTAATGACCATTATTTAACTTTTTTTCCGGCACCCTAGCTGTCAGAAAAAAAGTAAAATAACGGATTTGCTTTACAGTGTAGAGTGAAACAATGTCATTTTTTATTTGGTTATTCAATTTGTGGACATGAATACTGTTAAGACTCCCCAGAAACCCATACAGCACAGTTTATTTTAAATTTAATTTTGCTATATTGTATTTACAGTATATGCTGCTGTAATTTGTTTTAATATATCTTATATGTTCAATTTCATCCTAACCAATCCATATCATTAAATTTAATACATCTTCCAAATCAAGCTATTTAAGTCATCTGGTGAAATTGAATTGATATTGCAATATATATCGCAGAAAAACTAAATATTGCAATGTCAGATTTTTCCAATTTCGTGCAGCTCTACCGCCAACTATTCTGGCATGTGTTTTACGCAGCGGAACACACACACACACACACACACACACACACACACACACACACACACACACACAAACACACACACCTATATTAAATTCATCTATAGTACATGTCTTCAGAATGTGAACCCACGCGAACACAGGGAGAACATGCAAACTCCACACAGAAATGACAACTGGTTCAGCCGGGACTCATATTAGTGACCTTCTTGCTGTTATGCGACAGAACTGAGTCACCGTGCCACTCTCCAACCATATCATATTTTGGTAAATTACTAGGATTGAAAATGAACATGTGTCTGGAGAATTTTTGCACTTACCTAAGCCAAATACCTTTTATTTAAATATTAAATAACAATTTATCAAATTGTCTTAATGCATTCCATAGCACCTTTAAATCAACCATTAATGCGGACAGTTATTTTCATAACCATTCAATCAATTTCTGAAATCATTCACAAGCCTACTGATCCTGAGTTTATTTTTCCAGAGGTCGGCAGAAATACAGATGCTGCTCATAATTTCATATCTCAATATAACACTATTGCACTGCTCAACTGATCCAATCTTTAGACTTCGGTACCATCAGGAAATTAAAAAAAGCGTAAGATGGATAATGTGGCAGTGGCATGTGGCATCAAATTCTTGTTTAATCAAAACAAACCACTGTTGCTTCCCAAAGCGTAAATGATGTTCAGCATCAGAGTTTGATGCTTGACAGTTGGATGCCAAGTGAACTGGGTCATTGATCACAATGATAATGCTTTAGCAGACACTTTCTCTCAGCTGCGTGACAACTGCTTGCCATACAGATTTGCCTCAAAAGGACTGAGAATAATGAAAACCGACAGATTGATAAAAGAGTAAAGAAACATAGGCTCATTTATAAAAGCTGAAGTGTAAATGATTTGCATTTTAAAATACTCTGCATCTCAGCTTTCAAATGAATAACACATTCAGATGAACAGTCACAATCTGCATACATTCATTGATTGAATGATTGACACATTAAGTTGAAAAGTGACATTTCTGGCCTACTTTTTAATTGAAGCTGTATCATTACAATGTTTGAAATCCTCATCCTCATATTTCTCTTCTCAACTCTGTTTGAAGTAAAAAAAAAAAAAAACCAGATGCATACACAATTCTCTCTCGTTCATCCCCCATCCATCTCTTTCCTGTCTGCCGTCTTTCTCTCTGGCATCATTAACCATGGCATGGCTCAATGCGATAGACATTTCCCTCTTCTGTTTTTCTTCTCTCTTGCATTGAAGCAAGAAACATGTTGCAGAACCGTGGGACATTAAACATCTGGATATCAATCTGCTTGATGCTTTTGGTTTGACAGAGGATGCTTCTCACAATGGTTCTTCTCATCAAAAGTGTGATAATAGCAGATTTTGTTAAAGCATGTTTAGTCTGTTTATGCAACAAAACACTTGTCCTTTAAAAACATAAAAAAACACAGTTGATGACCTCTTTATTCTTTTTATTTTGAGTTGATCAGACTCAATTCTTTCCCCTTTACCCACTAACAGTTGACCAGAGGCGAGTCTGCGGAAAAAAAAAAAGAGTACTGAAAAATCCAACTCAAATAATAGTACCATTACTTGCCAAAAATGTAGTTCAAATACAGTAAAAGTATCTGTTCTAAATACTATTTAAAGTATGAGTAAAAATATCCCTTCTAAATGTATTCAGCAGTCGTGAGTAAAGAGTATTATTGAGTATTGAGTGAGTATTATTCTTCAATGAGGAAGTGCGTTCATTTTAAGAAATTCTGATTTAGTTGCCTATGAGAGAACAATAGTCAAACTATTTGCTCTACAAACAAGTGTGTTCATGACTTTACATAAAAAAGTAGAATAATATAAGAAAATACAAGTTTGTAACATCAAGCAGCATAAATAGCTGTTTTTAATATCTAAAAATTAATATGAATGAAAGAGGCAGTCTCAAGACAAAAAGATTCAAATGGCTGTGCTCGATTAGATGTAGCTTACTCGGAACCAGGGGTTAAAGTAAAAAAAAAATCCTGAGCCTGAATTTTGGCCTATAATTTATAGTTGGCTTATAATTAATAATGCTTATAATTTTTTATGGGGGGGTGGGTGGGTTTTTCTAAATAACAACAAGTGCTTAAATAACACCATCCCGAGAGTTAACAAATATTTGTTGTACATTTAGGGGTTGATCACAAAGCGCACACCTTTACGTTCCAAAAACGCGCGGCAGACCGTGCGGCCTTTTATGTTGACAAGAAAAAAAGAAGCCCGGCGCTCTTTTGTATGTCACTAGAAAATGACTGAATCAGCTGGTGTGCGCGAGTTGAGTTGCTGTTGATGTTATAATTGTAATTTTAATAATATTGTGATATTCAAGATCTGTAAGGTAATACAGCTCTGGATAACTTGAAACAGCGACCACAAGTCTCTCATCCATCATTAAAAGTTTGCCATAGTCGCCTTGACAACCCAAACCCCGCTGTCACCTCAACAGAAACCCTGCAGTGCTTTCATTTGACTGAAGAATGAAAAAGAGGTAACGCTTTTTCTGCTCGAGCACACAGCGCGCAACGGCAAAACTTGAGGCGTGCAGGGCGCATAAGCAAAACTTAAAACACTGGCAACTGTCAGTAAACCATTAAACATGCCCCTTATGCAGCCAAACTTTAAAAATATATTAAGTATATTTTTAATGGTTTAACTGATACCATTAATTGGTTACAAACGCGCCCTTTCGGCTAACGGTTAATCGCTTATTTTGAGCATCCCCAATTAAACTGTATGCGCAAGCTCTAAAATTTTTTTTTTCCTCTCACGGCCACACGCCGGAGATCCTGCATGGTGCTGGAATACTTTAAGCCCTGCGGAACATGTAGCTTACATCAGTGCTATTTTATTTTAAAGGATGTACTGTAAGTTAGATTATTTGCTGACTATACATTTCATGGAAGCGTTCCTTTGTCAAATTCTAGAGCTGTTCTATATTCTAGAGCATTTCTCTCTTTGTATTGTGTCATTTGGAAGCCCAAATACAGAAACAGAAGAAGCTCTGTGGAAAAAGCAGCGTTTGGACGACATTTTAGCTTTCTCTGCTTTGACATTACAGAGCCTCTAGCCACGCCCCTTCTCTGCACAGTGGCGTGTGCTTATAACCTGTAGGGTTTATGATCTCATTAACCCGAATGTGTTTTTTTGTAGTCCCCAAAATTAGTTTGATGTAGGCTTTGCTAAGCTCTGTAAAAGCCAATAGCTGCATCCCAAATCACATACTTATGCATTATTCTACGCCATTTTGTAGTATAAATAGTGTAAGTAGTGTGTTTACACTGAAAACTCTAAAAATATTAAGTGCACTTTAATTACCAGGATGATGCACTCATTCAGCCGGTAGTGTGTGGAAGTGTGGAATGATGGACACTTCACTCACTCAATGACCGCAGGTTTGCTCACATAGCGGAAGGGGCGGAGCTATCGGGTGCACAAGTTGGATAACATTATTTATTTTGGATGGTGAAAGCAAAGTTCTCCTATGAGAGTGATTATAGCGCCTCCCAATGGTGAATGCGTATATAGTGTATAGTGTGCCATTTGGAACGCAGCTATAGTCTC